TCAAGAACTCCAGAATATATAAAATGATTGAACCCAAGGTTTTCAACATTAACTTCTTCTAATTCTGTCTCAATTCTTTTCTACATGGTTTTCTCGTAACTGAAAGTATTATTTATGACTTGTCTAATATTATATTTTAAAAACTGTAAGTTTGCATTAGCATCTTTAGGCCATGACTTAGCATTTATTACCAAAGCTTTCATCCCTATAAGTGAACATAAATCTTCAAATGCAGTCATCACCTAAAATGTAGTATCTTAGATTAAGCTAATAATATATTTGATAAATTAAACAAAATATTTTTGTGAGATCAGATTAGATTTCTGTTTTCATATTGTATCAAAATACTAGCAGAAATCCAGCTGAAAAGGAACTTTACTATGCATATATTATTAGTTACTGCCATGTGAAAGTAATATTACATCGAACATAATGCATTCGCTAATAAATATGCCAGAAAACCTAAAGAAATACATGACATCATATTCACATATCTACCATGTTTATTGTTTACTGCCTTATCTGATTCGCTAATTTTTTCTTAGTACCAAAACTTCAAAGCTTCTTTTTTTACTCAACATCATCTGAGGGAATTTGTTTTAAAACTTGTTTTAAAATATTTTCAAAGTTCTCCACCTCCTTTTTAAGGACGCCTATCCATTCACCTTGTTCTACTTGTATATATAATACTGTGAATATTCTAATGATATTGAAGGGTTCTCTGGTTAAAAGGAACTCTTCCATGTTTAGATAAAATAATAAGTTAAATGTTAGTAAAAAGCTTGCTAGGCGAAGTAAAAAAATAATGTAAAGGTATAATAATTTCACTATACTTCCCTTTTAAATAGCTCCATTTACGACTCTTTAGGCTTGCATTTATATTAGGGATATGTATATACATACTTTTTTTTTCTTTATTTCACTTACTTGACCGCTCAATAATAAAGGCCTAGTAACATTATATAAATATACTCTAATCGAAATCTAGTAGGAATAGCCTCTAGCATCAGAGAAAATAAACTCATAAATAAATGCTATTCAGATAGATAGGGAAAAAATTCAAATTATTTTAGGGATCAGTTTATGTGTGAAATTATTTGTCACACAAGTATAGTTTCACAGATGATTTGCAGATTATTACATATTATATCATATATACTTTAACAAGAATCAGAAATACGTTTTATTTATATTGCACATGCCTACATGCATTGGCTTTAAAACGTTTCGCATGGCTGGATAATATTTTATTAAGACAATATTTGGGATCTTTCTCGAAAAATACTTTATTAAAATTGTTATACAGTATATTGTTAAGGATCTAATCCCACAGATCATGCATAGTACTTTTGGCTAATTTCACTAAGTGATTATTTATTATGTAATGCAAAAAATAAATTATATTAGTTAAACCAGTTAAACAATCATGATTTTTGTTTCATCTTTCAATCTTAACATTGTATCTTTTGGCTGATTAAGATAGTTTAAATTATTTTGTTTTGCATATTTAAATAAAATAAATATTTCACTTGTATTATTTCGGTAATTTAATGATTGATAAGAAATTAGTAAAATATAAGTTGGCTGGAAATTTGAAGCATTTGATATAGTATTTTTTGTTATGGTTGCTTTAGATTGTGCATAATTTTTATAGCTAGTCATAAAATTTCCATCATAATCATAAGATATCAATGCTACTTTATCCTTTTCTGAGTGTGAGTTAGATTAGGAGAAAAGCTTTAGACGAAGGTGATTATTTTTAACCTCTTTTTGTAATATAAATTGTTTATATTGCTAGATATGAAATTTTCTTCTATCAATAGATTTAAGAATTTTTTCTTTTTTTGTATATTTATTCGAAATAGTATTTCCAGAAATACATTTCTTCAAGTAGTTATTTTGATAATAATTAGCTCTACTAAAACCATTTTCAGGTATAAAAACTAAGGAGTCACATATATTACAATATATGTAATTGATGAAAGACTATGGACTTTATCATGTTCATATAAATTTCCATATATTATTATATATCTATTCTTAGAAAGAATTCTTAGATTCTCTTTAAGTATTTTTCTAAATAGATTACAGATGCAGGAGCACCACATTTCTGGTGTTTCATAATCATATCGTTCACCTAAAAGACATAATACTTCTAATATTCTTCTATATTTTTCAAAATTTATATCACTATAACCTACAGAAATTAGCTTATATTGGGCTTTACTATCTAAATCTATAATAGTATTTTAGTAGATTATAATAGATTATAATGATTTTAAAGTATTTTATCAATTTTAGCAATTTCACTGTTTTTTATTGATTTATAGTGATTTATAACAATTTGTAACAACTATATTATAATAAAATATCAGATTCATTTTTATTTAATTAACTTTAAGGTAGAAACAGATTTATAACTGATTTTTTGATTCGGTTAAATTAGATCTAAGACATTATATACAACATGATCATCATTATATTATGGTATACCTGGCTTCTTTCTAGCATCTCGTTAGTCCTTAGCGCTCTTCTATCACTTTTAGTTTATAGATCTCTCATGATTAATAGAGGGTTTAGCCAGATGTACTTCACATAATATATTTATACAGAATGATCGACTAATTTTATACCAATGATTTCATAATAGCAAGGGCTTTTTCTATCCTCTACACCTTTATTTCATTAATTTATAATGCAGATGGTTATTTTCCTTAATTTATTCTTCATGTTCCCTAGTCAGATTCTACATAAAATAACTAATATTTCTTTATTATATTTAAGCAGTTGCTTTTGCAGAATAATAATTTCATATTTAGTCTGATCATTAATTTCTATCATATGATCATCTGACTTGTTTTCTGTTTGGGATTTATTATCAGATGTTGAGCATTCTAGCTAACTTTGAGATCATGATTTTTTCTGATCCATAACTTTGTGACTCCAGTCTAATGATTTCTGGTAAATCTCTAATGTATAGTGCAAATAATCTTCTATCTGCCTATTTTTCTCTAAAATCTGATTTAGAAGAATAGGTTTATGTGAATGATTTAGAAGCCTTTAGTATGCTCTATCTTTTATACTTACTGGAAGCTTATCTATAATATAATTATAATCTGGATAGAACATTATACTTAGATATTTTGCACGCAAAAAAAATTTTGCATACAAAAATTTATTATTATTATTTAAAAATAACATTTAGAGTTTTATTAAAAAATTTTAGATAAATGCCTTAGTTTTAACGCCTTCAGTCTGGCTAAAAAATATATAAAAAAAAGAAATAGTTAGAAAATAGCGTTTGAAAAAAATGATGCACAAAAAGTCATAAATACTCTAAAAAGGAAGGAGTTTTCAGATTCTAGGTCATAAATAAGAGTCTTAACACTATTTTTATTTCATATTATTATCCCTATTACTATTACTACTGCTACTGCTACTACTATTATTATTTGCAAAACTAACTACTCTTTTTCCTTCTTTTTTAAGCCATGGGATGATTTTATCCATTGTTGTAGTTCTTGGGGTTTTTTGATATCGATAGAAGTTAGCTAATGTAACTGAACTAAGACTGATTTCTTGAGATAATATATTATACATCTGTGTAGGGGATTTTTTTCCTTTTTTTCTTCTTTGATCAAAAATGGCTGTAAACTCGTATCAGTACATTTTGAGCTCATTATTGAAGACAGATCAATGACTTGTGAATACATAATTTGTAGAAGATTCAGCTAGAAAAAATAAAATACGTTAGAAGAAAACAGAATGCTAAAAAATAATTATACAAATAAATATTATACCTCGTAATATTGCATCATTCCTATTATCCCTCTATTCATTTTCTGTACATATCCTTTGAATTTCATTGTTTAATACCAAAATGAATCCCTCAAGATCATTATTTCTCCTGGATTGTTGCTTGCGAAAGTAGATGAAACCTCCTGCAAGAATAATATATGTAAAAAAATTTTCTGAAAAAAAGATTTGAAACCTCTCCATTGTTAAGAAATCTTAGCATATTGCTTTATAGATTATTACTATAGTATAGAAGAATATGAATAGGAAGATGTTTATAGATGATAGCATTTTATTATTTATTAGATTGTGAATTGATTAAGGTATGCATAAGTTTTTTTATTTTCTTACTGGAAGCTTTCAACTAACCCAGTGTTTTTATATTCAAGTTTTTTTTGCAATTGATAGATGCAAACATCACAAAATATGAAAGTCCTGAATTTTCACTGACTGATCCTAAGTTGCAAATTAATCTAGTAGGTGATCAGTCAAAGGTATTTCACCAAAAAATTTAACACTATTCATATGTAAAGATAATCAAGGAACTATATATAATTTTGAGAATATGCGAGAAAGTTTAAAAATAAATTATTATGTGTAGTTATTTGTTTCCGTAATATATGTAATGATTACTATAATATTATTGCGTATTATTTATCAAGCATAATCAATTTATAAAGGATGAACCTTATGTCCAAGCTCGTTGAAACTGGCAGAAACTGACAGGACAGTCGCATAAGACAAATCTGCCAAATCTGCCATATCTGTCAAATAGGACATACTTAATATTTATTATATTTCTATTATTTATATCATTATTATCATTTATAACATATTTAATATAATTAGCATATCTGTTAGCTCTGTTATTATTGTCAGTAGTATCATAAATATTATAGATTTTCTTTAATTGTATTTTTCTATATAAAGAGCATGAAAATGCCTTAGAAAAAGAACAGATTCCAACAAGATTCCAGACAGATTCCTACAAGTTCTTAATATTGTATTCAATATACATTTAACAACAATAATAAACACCTTTAACACTTTGCAAACATAAAACTTATAATTTATTTCTTGTTAACTAAATAAACTCTAATAAACAGCGTATCAAATTGATTAGATTTAAGTCATAGCTATTGCCTCCCTGACTTCAAATCATAGTTAACTTATTTGATAGAAAGAGTAACGTTAACATCGTCCAATTACACAGAAGCAGGATTAGCATCATATTTGGCTGGATTGTATAATGGCAAATTTCCCTAAATCAGAAAAAATATAACTATTAATTATCATCGAATTTCATTTAGAGCTTTTAGGTCTATTAGCTACTATCACTTTTCTCTTAGAACTGAATAATAAAATACCTCTACCAGCTTGTAAAATGCATTTAGAATATTATTATTCAGATATTTTCTAATCAAATCTATAGTGACATTGGCAGTTAAAACTATTTTAGCTAATACCTTAATCATAGACATTACATCCTCTGTATTTTTAAAAAGGTTGTGCAAAATTAGAACTTATACAAGATCATTAATATATCTTCTGCTGTGTATATCATAGACTGGATTATGGTGAAAACTATTATTAAATAAATATTCAGTTATCATCTTTTCTATAACTGAATATTTATCACATCAGAAAAAAAAATAATATAATAATATATGCAATTTAACTACTTATCACTATCTAGCTTATGTAGGTGAACTAGATATGTGAAATACACATTCATTTTGATACTTCTCTAGAAGCTTAGCCCTTATAGCTCTTTTTTTAATCTCTTTATGGGAAATATCATCTTTGACCATATTCTTATAAATTATAATACACCAATATTTATATGGTAAAGTAATTATCTCATCAGATAGAATCCAGCATTTAGTATCTATTGGGCAGAAGACCTTTTTCTTAGATTCAATTAGAGATAATACATGATCTTTTAATCAGATACTCACATTTTTAACATAAACACTTCTTTACTAAAAAGATAATCTTGATAAACTAGAGTCATAAGGTCTGCCTCAGTTCACATAGTTAATTCCTTAGCTTCTTGCTTCAATAATAAGGACTTATCTATCAGATTATCTAGCAAGAATCTCTCTAAAGATGATATATATGTATCTATTGCCATCTTACTCATAATTTTTTATTAATCCCTTATGCTTAGACTTTGTGAACTTATCAGCTAAAATATAGTGGTATAATTTAGAACGAATATACATAGATTCTGTAATTATATTTCCTGAAGTCACATCTTTATAAAAGCCTATAGTTTTAGAATTATTAAAATCAAAGAGATCTGAACGCTCAGCTATGTCTTTATAAATATCTTCAGTCTCAACTTGAAATATAAAGGAATCACTATCCATATAGCTAAGCTGGACCTTATCACCATATCTCTCCTTTATATATCTATATCAGAAGTGATACATGTGAAGCTTGTTAAGACCTAATACTGATACCCCAACTATTATAGGTTTACTGAGAGTCACGCTGGCTTTTCCCATATGCACTCCTACTAGTATATCTTCAAGCTGTCTACCATAACTTATTTAAGAATACCTTTTCATCTCGCTCATTAATCATCTTCATGAGCTTGACATCTTAATATTTGCAGATATTTTTTATAGTCTTACTATATACAGAATTATTCATGAGCTTGAAGAAGTCTTTTTCAAAGATATTCTTAGCCTTTTATCATTTTTCTGTATTGAATGCAATATATGAGGTAAGCCAATTAGTCTGGTTAAAGAAAAGGATCTCTAAAACCTCATTTACAATCATGCCTAACTTCACATAGTATTAGAACTCTTAGTAATAGATGACATAACCATTTCTCAGGCCAAGATGAGGGACTAACTTTTCTGTTTTAGAGAAGCGTTCACTATCCAAGTTATTCACAAGTTTTGTATTATATGGATTTAGCCAATTTTTTTTTATAGTGATATTCTTTATTACTAGAGGCAAATCTCTCAAATAATCATAGATCTTAAAAGGGAAATGGACCTTAATGTTTAAGAAATATTCACATGAGACATTTGATTTAGTCTTAAGAATTTTTTTGAGATATTTCTTTTGCATAGCTGAATTCTTAAGTAAATACTCCTGACTAGCCTTCCATTGATAATTTTCAATAGGTAAGAACTAATTCATAGCCTAGCCATAAAGATTATTTGTATTAACATATGAGATCCATAATGTGAGTTTAGATAGGTTGAATGTTTTACCCATTTTAGGATTATTGGCCTTGAAATATCGCTTACAAGCCTTAGATATGCTACCTCTCTTGGCCTTTTTGATAAAGTTATGCATTGACATATCTGTAAATAGCTTAATCTTAACTTCAGTCTTCTTAAGTATTGTATTTCAGGATAAAGATGGGCTGAAATATAGTGGCTGAAATCAAGTTCATAATATTTTATGCATGTCTTTCAGAATTGAGTCCAGACATCAGCAAGAGAGAGTACGTTAATTTTAAGATAAAGATCATAGTACTCACCTAAATTCTTACAGTTGAATGTATTCCATACTTTTTGAATATGTTGATAGTCCTTTTGCAAGATCTTTCCTTTTAGATTGTAGTAATTTGTGAATTGGTAAGAGCTCTGTTTCCAAGAATCTATCTTGAGAATTTATATAGTCATAGGGGTATATCCCCTTATGAGTTGCTAGAGAAATTTGATTTAAAGTAAAGTCTTTAAAGTGCTAGTTAGTGATTGGATAGTCATTATCCAAGTTTTTTGTAAGATTGGCCAAGCTATTATTCATAAACTGCTGACTATCTATATATTTAAGCTGGCCTACTTTCATAGACTTATACTGCTCAAATGTTTCAGCTATAACTTTGATCTGATATGCATTAACTGAATGTTTAAAAGATTTACAGACTAGATGAGAGTCATACCCTTAGAAGTTATGAAAGACTACTAGGATTGGGGTCTTCTATAGCTCAATCTGGAATTTGAGATTGCAATCTCTATGAGCTGATTCACTAAACTTATCTGTAATATGGTAGTGATCTTATACCTTATCAGCTTTAGCTTTTTCACTAGCAATCACCTTGATTATTTTTTCAATAGTTGTTTGTATACTAGCTGACTTTTTATCAAATTTTCTAGCTTCTCTTTAAGACTAACTATTTTGCTTTCTAGATATTCTATTTTCTCTATATCAATAGCAAACTTACCTTTACAGATTCAACAAATATCAGTCTTAGTAAATTTCTTTTTGTTCTCTTCAGTCTCAATTCGATCTGCTTTAATAGCTAAGACTTTATTGATATAGACTAGCTCTTGATCAATCTTTCAAATGAATTCTTGTATAGCATTTTCTTCACGATATAGAAATGAACCCATACATCTCCAGTATCGATCCAGTGAACAATATAACAGAAACTGTTTACCTTCTGCTCAACAAGCTTACGCATTTACCTACCATAGGATTTGAACAGTTTTATTATCCTACTTGAGCAATCCCACTTCTTATTATCAGCCTCAAAGTCTGCTATAATTACACATGAAGAATTAATCATTCAGCCATAATTCTTGAACTGCTCAAAATCATTAACCCCTTTTATTAGTAGATTAACTCTTTAGGTCGTCTCTCCTAATCTGAAACAATATTCTTAATGATAGTCTAAAGATTTTTCTAAAGGAAAACTAAATGTACAACATCTGCAAAAATGCCTCTTTTCTTTATGTGTAGTATCTCTAAATACTAATCCGTTAATATTTTTGATCTATAGGAAGTAATTCTTTTGCCTATACTTATCTGTATCCTTTAATTTAATAATATCTATAAGGTTAAGAGATCGATTATATATGATTTTTTATAATTCTTACTAATAATTACTGTCTTTGAAGTAGCTGTTTTTTTATTCCACTCCTAGATATTGATTGAAATATCTGGATTCATCTCCTCTATCTTATTAAATATACGCGAACAAATTGAAATAGGTATAGGAATTCTATTAAGCTTAGTCTTTTCTAAATATTTTCAAAGACTTCAATATATTCGTCTACCAAGGTAGTCTGTAATTCCATCCTAATATGCGAAATAATAATCTAATGCTTTCCAAAAACAATTATCTGTTGGCTTGCCCATAACCAGATCAATAATGTCTGAATTATCTGGGTTTGATAATACACTTTGTGTTAGCAAGCTTCTTGGGTGTGAACTTATAGGATTCTTTAGTGACTCGACGGTATGTATAAGATTCTATTAATACTATTTCTAGCTGGAAAAGGATTTTACCAGACTCTTCCTTTAAGTATTTTTCGATCTTTTCATCGATTTCTCTGACAGAAATGGTATATGCTCATCTATATTATTTTCTGAGAGAAGTATGTGCTGATTCCCTCTATGATATGAATAGTAATAGTTAATTTCATAGTTTTTTTTGTTTATTATGTCACCACTTCTAAGATATTTGTATTTTATATATGTAGCATATATGTTCATTGCTGATTTTATTTGATCCTTTCTTCAAAGCTCCTTTTTAAGAATATTTGTAATCTGTTTACAAGCTGATGCAATTAGCTGGAACATGTATAGAATATCTGCATATTTTTTTTATTATTTTAACGTGAATTAAAAGCATATACTAGATTTTTGATAGATGGAATAATGGCTTCTCACGTAGTTTGATATCTTAAAGAAGAGTGAGATCTAGCTGAATTACGAATTCTTTCTAAGAATTTTATCTCATCATAGGATGGCTTGACTATTACTTCTTTTACTTCAAATACCTTTATATTATATGTTTTCCCTTTTTTATGATAAATCAATCAGAAATAATCCCTAGAAGCATACTCCTTTATATTTTATATTCTTGCCTTTCAGATAAAGGTAGATTTTCTATCTTTTCTAACCTATTCTTTTCTTCTTCCTGCTCAATCTCAGATAATGTTAGAAATCTAGCTTCTTCAGAATCATGATGCTCTTTATCTCACTTTTCAGCCTCTTTGTTAGTAATAAATTACCTATCATGTCTTAAAAATATAGTTTTAAACTACTCTGTATTTATATAAGATAAAGACTTCCATTGCTCTTCTTCTCTATATGCTTAGGTAGCTGGACCAGGATTTGCTTCTTTTACTTATTCTTTAATCTGTATAGTAAGCGTTTGTGTTTTCTCTTGAGAAATAATTTCTTTGAAAGTCTCTTCGTCTGCCTATAATAGATCATGATATAGACACTGATATGCTTTTAAATTTAGTGATAAATCACGTTCTTCACTAGTAATTTTGACCCACTTTTGATATAATTTTGCGTCCTATATTTTTAAATGCTTTCTAGATTTTTTTGCATGTCTATCAATATACTTACCCTCTCTATATGCTTGGATTGATAGATCAGGATCACCTTCTTGATCTTTGTCTTGCAGAATTGAGGCTTGCATTTTAAGAATAGACTCAATTTTTTCTCTTCTTCAATCCTTTTTTTAAACATAGACTACTGAAGCAGGAGTTGGTGATCG